GGCCCGGTACCCGACAAAAAGACTCCGTTTACTAAAAACCGTTTGGGGGCTCAAACAGGCTCGGGCATAGGCTCAGCGGAGCCACGGTACCGGGGCGCTGCAACTTGTCGCCAGCCTCAGAGTATGAGGGTGTTGAGACTCACTCCGAAAAGGGCCCCTACAAAGTATTAAAGCCCAACCGGGGGACTTTTCACTTGCGCACGTGCAGGCGCATAGGAGGAGCTCGAGAGAATACTAGGAGGAAGGCACATTCAGGCGCACCAGCAAAAGGATGACGGGGACGAAGGGTGCACGTGCGAGGAAGGAGGTAAGGAAAGAGCGTGGAGCCGGGTGAGGCGTGCGCGCCACAGCCGCCATAGCTACGTCGTGAGTGGGAACTTGCGTACAACAACGCACCAATCAAGCGGGATAGTCGAGCAACTCGGCGCACACACGCGCTCGTACATGCGAGGGGTTACGCACGCTCGTGGGCGATCACTCATATCGTGTGTGCATCCATGATCGCCTACTCGCACTGCGCCCACACACACAGAAAGAGGTAGAGGCGCGGGTAGTCATGTGCACAGCGTGCGCGCACTCGCGATCGAGACTAGAGTGCGTTGGGCCGCATGCAACAGCACGCACCTGCGCGAGATCGGGGAAGGACGTGCGCGCTCATACACACAATCGAGATTGGAGGGGCGAGCAGCCACGCACGCACGCGCGCACACCTGATGCAGTCGGGATATGGGCATATGTCGAGGTCGGGCGCGCACTCGCACACACGCGCGGAGCAGCGCACATCTGCGTGCATCTGCACCCACCGACGGAGAGCCGCAAGCACACATCTGCGCGCATCTGCACCCATCGGCGGAGAGCCGCGAGCACACACGTGCGGGGTCACACACATCTGCGTCCACCGGCAGAGAGCCGCACGCACACACGTGCGGGGTAGCGCACATCTGTGCCCACCGGCGGAGAGCCGCGCGTGCACACGCGTGGGGTAGCGCCCATCTGCGCGCATCCACGCCCACCAGCGGAGAGCCGCGCGCGCATACGTGCGGAGCTGCGCACGTCTGCACACACCCGCAGAAAATCGTGCACGCACACACGTGAGGCTGCACACACCAACGCACAGTGGAGATCCGAGAGGCTACACCCCCACACACCAGCACACTCTCGCGGAGCTGCGCGCACCAGTGCACAGTCGGGATCCGCGCGTACGGGTGTGCGAGAGTGCGCAAGCACCGAGCACGGTCGGGATCTGCGCGCACAGGTGAGAGATGGCGTGCATCGCCGTGCAAGCACCGCTCACGTCTAGAGATCCCCCCGCACGAGCGTGCAATCTCGCGCAAACCCCGTGCGCGGACCGATCAGCGCACACACGGGTGTATGGTCACGTGCGCATAAGGGGCGCTATAGCGAACAGTCGTTTCGCTTGGCACCCACACACACACACCCCAACAGGGGAAGCCGGACTTTTGGATCGGACCGGGACCACGAGGCCCGGACACAGGCAAGCGAGAACTTTAGACATGGACTGAACCGGGACTTGGGAACGGATCAGGACTTTAGGCGCGGACCGGACTAGGAATCTGGGTGCAGACCGAGAACATAGGGCCTTGGCACAAGAGAGCCGGGACTAATCAGCACTTGCAGATAGAGACTGGGGCCTTTGAAGCAAGGCGGGATAATTTAGGCCATGCCAAGACACTTTGGACCGAGCAGGGACTTTTTGGGAATAGACCCGGACTACAGGACTCGAGTACGGACAAACCGGGACATTAAAACTGGGACAGAGATAACAGGGACAAAAGTCGGACTCTAGGCGAGCAGCGTGACTTTAAGACCCGGACCACTAAATTCAGACTCGACGAGACACAGACTAGGGTTTCGAATGGAACCGCAAGTTTATTGATAGGGCTGCGGGACTCTATGGACTAGGGAAAACGGCGAGCAGGAACTTCATTGATAGCTGGACAAGCAGTGAAGACTATTATGGACCCGGATGAACCGAGTTTGATTTGGGAACCTACCTGAAGTCGTGCTTGGGCAGAACCCCAGTCCGCTGGTGACAAGAGATTTTTGGCACGATATGGTAAAGTTCGATCTCGAGTTGTGGCCCCAATGGGCCCGAGAGTCTACATAAGATATTGAGAGCTCCAGTGCGGTCTCGTGGGATCAGTGGGGCCGTTATCGGCGACACCTGATAGGTAGAAGAATATGTTGTAGGTTGTTTGTGTGGTCAGTGGGGACTCAAACAGATTTTCCTGACACAGACATTGTACCTGTTTCCGGGACTGGATGCAGTGCATCTGATCCCATTATTTTGGATGAGTAAAATGTTTTATTTGTTCCTTCCTGCGACTTGTCTACAGGTTTTGTGATTTTGTTGTCCCCACTCGTTGTGCTGACTTGTTTATTGGCGTGGGAGGCAGGACTACTTAATAGGTTACAAGAGCCCCGAGCGACCCTCCCGTGGGTGACAGACACGGCGCGAGATACAGGGTCGGACGGCGTGCGGGCAGATCACTTCTATCGGTTGACACCGGGACTTACCTGTCCCGACACCGTGGCACTTTTGTTTTGTTTTCTTGGGTGAAGGTTACGACGACATTCAATTCTTTTTGTTTTTGTGTGTGCTGCTTAAGTAGGCTTTTGCTATTAATTTTTCGGTCATTGGTTTTGGGATGTCTTGGTGTGCTTTTTTCCTTCCTCACAACCACGGCTTGGCTTGGATGGACTGCCTTGACTGATAGCCAGTTGGTCGTCCCCTATTGTGAGGCACATCAGGTCCGTCACATGATTTGTATAATTCAGCCTTGGGTACTAGACCCGTCTGTCCCAATTGTTTTGGCGTAGTTGGCCAGGATCGAAATATGAAGTACAACATCATTCAACCACCAGTACTTCCAAGGCACATTCGCTGGGGCTGAAAACACGCTGAGCACCAAAAGGAAAGAATCGACACATACCTCCTTGGGCTGGCACTGCCAGACAGTTTGCTCCGGTGGCCGAGCCCCCAAAGATGCGGCGGTCGTGGACCAAAAACAAATAGCGGGGTCAAATAATGTTGGGGACAATGCAGTGATTTCCCCAGCTAAACATTTCTAGGGCTCGGGGAAACAAAAAGGTTGGCAGCACCAACCAAAATAAAATCAATTTCCTACTAGGTGCGCAACTCTTGCTGGATACAGGGACATTGGATAAACTATGGCTCCACAACTCTTGCTGGATACTGGGACATGGGACAAACTATGGCTCCACAACTCTTGCTGGATACTGGGACATGTGATAAACTATGGCTCATCCGGGGGTCACATTATGCTGACTATTCATTCTTGGCCGTTGATCCTCGTAATCTATACTAAAAAATTGAGAAATTGAGAATTTGCGTAAGTGGGACTTGGCCCCATGACTTCTTCTCAACTTGGCTACCGTCTTCCTCCGAACATAATGCATATGCATTGTATTCGAGTTTTCCAAAAAAACGGGTTTTTGAAAAGTGAAACCCTTTTCTTCGAATACAAGAGCACTTCGAATATAACGCATGTGTTTTATAATAACTTTATTCGAACAAAACACATATGCGTTATATTTGAATTTCACGAAGAGAAAATTGTTGTATTCGAATATAACTTTTTTTTTGCCCCACCTCTCTCTCTCTCTCTCTCTCTCTCTCTCTCTCTCTCTCTCTCTCTCTCTCTCTCTGTGCTGTCGGCAAGAAACTGCCCTCCCTGCCACTGACAAGTTGCTCTCTCTCTCTCTCTCTGCTGTCAGCAAGAAACTGCCCTCCCTGCCACTGACAAGTTGCTCTCTTCTCTCTCTCTCTCTCTCTCTCTCTCTCTCTCTCTCTCTCTCTCTCTCCCTGCCCGTGCGGGAAGGCCCTTCTGATAGCCAGAAATGTCGCGCAGCCAAGAAAGTGGAAAAATCAGAAGGCCACTCACCAAGGCGTCGCCAGAACATAGAAAGGTACGTGGCTACGGGCTTCGCCGCACCGGACACAAAATGAAAAACGAAATGAGTGCATCTTCCTGCAGAAATGGTCAGGTTCATGGGTTTGCTATCAATACTACCGAGTGTATTTTGCCACCTTTCGTGGACAGATGCCCTCGTTTCGTTTTCGTTTCGTGTGCCGTGCGGCGAGACCCTACTTCACTTTTACCTTTTTGCATAGGCTCTCAGGCCCCCAGCCGTGGTCCAGAACTGAGCCTACTCAGCCTGGACCCGACCCCCTTGTGCAGGTAAAGTTGGTTTAGTTCACCCAAACAAAACGCATATCCGTTGTAAACGAATACAACATACGGTATGCTTTGTATTCGCTTGCAACGCATATGCGTTATGTTCGGGCCAAGATGGTAGTGATGCCTCGTTCATTATCAGCCCGGGGCCCGGTTCTCAGCTTGCGATATAAATTCGGTTTTCCAAAAAAACCAACAAAATCGCCATAGAAAAACGAGGTTCGGAAATACTGACGGTTCTGGTGCGATTTTTATTGGAGACCTTGAAAAATTCTTAATTTAACGCGGGGGCAGTTGGCTGTGAGTGAGAGACAGCGTGTGCGCACGGAAATTCGAGCGCTGGTCTGGTCACACGGTTGAGCGTGCAATACTCTGGGGTGCACGCCGAGATCAGTGGGTCGGGTGGTATTCAAGCTTGAGCTGCCATATCCCGAGACCTTCAGAGCTGGATGGAGCTGGAGACCTGTGCTGCTACTCTACTCTACCAGCCGGATGCTCTCTTTCCCATTGTAGGCGCCGCGTGGTGATCGTTTCTCCGGCTCCTCCTTGATTGGCGTCCTCCATTATTTTTATTTCCTTCCTCGCGATCGTGCGTGCACGGGGAGAGAGAGAGAGAGAGAGAGAGAGAGAGAGAGAGAGAGAGAGAGGGGTCTGGGGCAGGATGTACGGATTTGAGGCTATGACATTCAATGTCAAGGATGGGTATCTGGAGGCGATGGTGAGAGGATACCGGTCGGAACTGCTGACAGCAGCGGACTACAACAATCTTTGTCAGTGCGAGACGCTGGAAGACATCAAGCTTCATCTCTGGCACCGACTACGGCTCATTTTTGGCAAACGGTTCGTATATATAAAAATAAATAAATATATATATATATATCGTCACAAATAGAACTGCCCGGTAAACCGTATATATATATATATGTCTGTTTGTGACGATATATATATATATATAAAAAAGCAGAGAAAATGTAATGAATTTGGTAATTTTCGCAACTAAGTAAAAAATGTACAAGCTAAGTAATGCTAAACCAATACATGGAACTATAATTTGTAAATATTTATAGAAAAAACAAAAATAAAATAGTTTTACAATAATTTTGAATATTAACTCTATTAAATTCCATA